CACACACACACACACACACACACACACACACACACACACACACACACCAGTGTGCATTAACCCACTAACAAACACATCCAAGTTCTGACACTGTATGAAGTCACATACATTAGAAATAGGAATGCACCAATACCAATACCAGGCCGATACCGACTCAAATACCTGGATCGGATATCGTAACAATGGGGCAAATATATTTAATTCACTTTTGTTGAATGTTTTTTTACTGGAATTTAAATTCCTGTGTAAGTTTTGACCATTTTCTTGCCGCTTTGAAATTGATGTAGTGTAACAATTTATTATTTTAGTGAACTTGTATCCGAGTATTTAATTGTTGCATTTTGTTTTAAAAAGTTAGAAAAGCGATGTTTAAGTCAAGCCCACACAGTCTATTAATAGAACACCGGTATCGGATCAGTGGAAAAAAAACATGCAAATTTAAAACTCTTCCCCTTCTGCATTTCAGCCCTACCTAAGTTTAAAAATACTTTATAGGATTCTCAGTTTCCAGTCACCAAAAAACGAAAGTGCAGTGAAATGACTTTGACTGACTAGTGACGGGGATTGAACAGGCGCTCATGACCAGAGCAGAGATATTATCATCCCCCCCAAGACTCTACAAAGGAGGTTCCTCATAGCCACACATGTTAAACCTCCACATATCCCAAACCTTCACCAGACTGGGGCAAAGAAAGGGATCCGACTGACTCTATAAGGACAACACGTGGCAGCTGCTCCACAAAAAGCAGGAATACAGAGACCGAGTCAGGTTCTTTGAAACACATCTTAGTGTGGCTTTAGGTAACCAGAAAAACATTTACCAACGTTACTACATAGAGACGGGCATTTTTCTTCAAAACTGTTCTTTTAGCCACGACGATATTCAGCAGTACTGCTCCAACATATCCCGCTGCAAAGCATATTAAACAAAAAGTATGGCCTTGTGCAAGATACATTGCTTTTTTACATTTGGGGAAATATGCTTTCTTTCTGAGAGTGCGCACAGATTTAAGAATAGGTCTCTGTAGAGGGTTTGTGGTACCAAACCTGGCAACCTCACTGTGACCATAAGACTTCAGATAGCACTGCGTCCAGCATGCAACTACTCCTAAAACCACAAATGGTTGTTTTTATATTTCTGTTTTTATACAAATGAGATAAAACATTGAATCTAATGTAATAAGTGAGCTTCAGAGATGTTGGTAGGCATATTTTTGACCTTTAGAAAGAGCCGGTCTTGATGCTTTGTAGTGAACATTCAGATATGAGGGCCACACACTAACCCTCTGTCAGCCTGGAAGGTGTTAGAAATTCCCCATTTGCTCCTTCACAGAGAACAGTAGGGCTGTAGTCACTCAAAGACAATATCAGTTGACTGAAATTCTACCTACTTTTTAACCGATGGATTGATCAATGAGGAGAGAATAAACTATTATGTTAGTTACCATTTAGATTATCAAAATGGCCACAGTGGACAGTGCACTCTACCTGGTAGCCTAAAGGAATTATAAACAATACACGTGCCTGCCCACATTACAAGGAACAGTGTGTAACATTTAGGGAGGTGTATTTGTAGATATTGAATAGAATATTCAAAACTATGTTTAAATCAGTGTATTTACACAAGCACAGCACGCACGATCGGCCTAAAGATATTTTTTGTAAACTTCTCTGCCAGCTGAGACAAAGCAGCCAGCAGAGCAGAGGACGGATGTCTGCGTTCTTTATTCTTTATAACGTTCACTCAGAAATATGGTTTATGTTATTGATATTTTACATTTGTTTCCAGTGAAATATTAATGACTTTATATCGTGACTTTGGGGGGGCTGAGGAGTATGGAGTTGGTTGCAACGTGCCATAAATCACTAGATGCCACTAAAATGTACACACTGTTCCTTTAATATAGTTTCTGTACATAGAACCATCTAAGCCGTCGTAGCGCCTGCAGTTATATTATAGTATCCCACTCACACACACACACACACACACACACACACATCTCTTCTGCCCCCAAAATATAATGGATTTAGAGGCGCTCATCTTCTTAAACCTAACAATGAGAATTGGGTCGGACGATAGCATATCGACCGACCCATTGACCAGAATGTGGCAGCTCTTAAGAACAGCCACTCAATTAGTAACAATAATTAAGATAGTAATGAGTTTTCACAGCAGTGGAAAAAGAAGTATCAAACTTCTAAAGAAACGTTTTGTACCACTGCAGCATTCCACTGTACTTCTCTACTGTTCTTCCACATGCTTATTATGTCCCCAGATATCATTGTTTAATACTCTGGAATATGCTGAAGCGGCAGGTGGACAACTGTAGAAATGCTTTTCACGTTTCTATAAACCTCATGAAACTTTGTTCCTGCTGTGAAAACTTGTCTTTTTGGGAATCCACTGTCAATAGCATGAGTTTAAGCAGACCATAGTAGCTATTTGCATTTCTTTAACAACTAGCGAGGGTGTGTGTGTGTTTGATCCTAAAATGATTTTGAGAGGAGCATAATTTTAAGCCTGAGGGAGAATGCCATGAGCAGCCGTTGGATTGATAACATCAATGTGTCTCTTTTGTAAGTACACACCTTGCTCCAACAAAGGAACATGTAAGTGGCCCTCAAGTGAATGGAAGAAATAGAGCCCCCTAAACCCCACCCAGCTAACGCTCGTCTTGTCTTTCATCTTAGCTTCAATATCCTGTTTCATTTCTATTACCAACCGAAAGACCCACTGCACTTCTACAGATGCGAGGATGACAGAAGACGGTTCGTGCAGGGAAGGTGGATGTGCTACAGTAGGAATAGCGAATGACAGGTAGCCATTTTTAAAAGTTAACCACTTTTTGTGTATGACAGCAATACAAAAGGGCCCCAGAAACATTACAAAAGTAAAGGAAACTGGTATTCATATTGAGTATTTCCAAAGCTGTTTGCATACATGTCTCAAAACTGATGGGCTAAGCTAATGATGAAGATGGGGCATGGCTCTAAGTGAAAATGAGTTATGTGAAGAGGATAAGAAGGGTGCGAGATTGCAGGACAAGGGAAAGCAGTTCTTCACAGAGTAAGCAGAGAAGATTAATTGGGCTGTTTCCCATCAACTTCCGCCCCCTGTCTCTATCCATCAGTGATTGAATGGCAATAGCTGAGAAGGTGAGGAAAGGACACCTGCAAGGCGAGGATGAGAGAGTGCTGAGGAGAGGACGCTTGATCTACATAAGATAAAAATAAACGGGCAATTTTCCTGAGGTTTCTTCCAATAATCTGTGATCTGAAACACAATTGATGAGAACAGGAACAGTTTCCTTTTCCATTACCATTCAAAACACCACGAATGAGTGAAGGGTGGAGTAGTGCTTTACTTTCAGGGGATGTACTAGGGAGCATTACAAACTAGCACGAAGCTTTAGGGGAGAGAAAGGAAAGGGATTTATTTTTAATGACGTTTATTTTTCTCTAATCAAGATAATCAAATCCAGAAGAATAGAGCATTTCATTTATTCTGGAGGCAAAAGAAACGTAAATCCTTTTATTTAAAAAGAGAGAAATCTGTTTTCGTCTTACCTGAACCTCCAAACTGACTGCTGGCGAGAGTAGTCGGACGGTTTTTGCCGTTAGAAACTGGAGGCTCAAACATCTGAAAAGAGAGGAATGAAACAGTTAACTGCAGTCCATGTAAGACTTTGAATTACCACCTAATCAACCTTCACACAAGTAAAGATGATACAACTCAGCAAACTATCCTATCCTGTATCCCATCGTATTCAGCCAGCAGTGACAACAGGCATGAAGCAATCTACACTTTCAGCTTTCACTGAGTGACCGCTAACATTTAAGTGAGACAACAACAACAGTCTCATAAACAAAATGGCATGCTGCAATCGCTGAAAAGCCTCTGATATTTATTCACATTTCAACATACTTGACAACTGTTGAAGAATCATAAAAGTGAAAGCATAGAATAAAATGTACAGGATGCACATTCAATTCAATGTTCAGAGATCTTACCGCGCTAAAATCCAGTAAGTCGTTGAGCTCCTTGTCCGTTTCCACTGCAGCCATTCTCTGCTGCTGTTAACTCGGCCGTTTCAGTCTCAGCAAGCGACTACAAGCAGAGGTAAGGAGAATATGAGTATATCTTCACTTACAAATACGTGGTTCAGAAGATATAGTTTAACTGGAGCCTTTAACATATCTGAGTGAGTGCCCGAATTGCTGCCTCTTCCATTGTTAAGTTGTTTCTAGCGGCGTTGTTGATTGCCCATCGCTCAACAATAAAGCTGATGAACAAAATGTTGTCACAACCAACGGGAATGGTGGCAAAAGTTATGAGAATAAGAAAAGAGATCTTTTTAATAAACAACTCCAGACAGTGTCCAAACCTATATCCATCGTCAATCTAATAATGATTTCTCCCAGATAATGATTCACATGACTCGAAAGTATTCACTTTGCTCAATATGAATATGAGAAGCAACGAGGATAAGGCTTCTACTTCCTACATCCAGGAGGGAGGGAAGGGAGGGGAGGGGGGGGGAGCACGCTATTATTCCAACGCTTTGCGACGATTCCCGTGTCCAGCACCGTGTTACCAGCCCTACACGAACAACTGGTTTTTGGTAAAGACAGGAGGAAAGGAATCATTTTACTAATAAAGTTGTGGTATGGCTGCACATGGCCAGTGCATGTTTGTGTCAGGCATGGTAGTGTGCTTGAGAAGGGGGCTAAAACGCTCGTCTAGAATGAGATCATCTTTATTTAAAATGAAACGTTGGGGCTGTAGATGTAGCCTTCTTGTGCGACCATCAAGCTATTGAACAAGTACTAAGAAATCCACTTAGTTCTAAGAGTTTCCCGCATCTAACATGTGTGACCACGGTTCAGCCACAGGCCACAGTGCATTCGTTGTTAGTCGGGTCCAGGACTCGGGCAGCTTCCTCTACCTCAAATACCAACATGCTCTAACAGCTCTTATGAAAACCGTAGAGCAATAACAGGACGTAATTCTCAAATAACTAATGTATGGTCTGGCCAGCCGGTATCAAATGCAAATTCAGGCCATGTGTGTTAAACATCTAAATAAGTATAATTTCTACACACGGTGAGCCAACCAGCCGACGCTTTGCAATACCAAAGCACCGTGGTAAATACCATCTGGGCAAAATCATAATGTTATGATTTTGTCAGTGCTCAGAGGTGTTGTAAAGCACCTGTAGAGCACGTAAACAACCAAGTACGTGACGTTGAGTTAGTGTTGTTGGGGGTTGACTTGTGGCCACTGTTCTTAAGTTAGTGAGCACTTCTGAGACTAGAATATGTCATCATTGTTTTTTTTACTTTGCCACTTTAAAAAGGATTTGAAACTGTGTACCTCTTTTAATTGCCCTAAAAACTGTCTCATGATGTTTTTCTACATCTGCAAATATTGATACAACATATTCACCTCATGAGTGCCGGCAAATATTGTCTGAATATTACTAAGACTGCAAAATGATATGCATTGTCAAACAAAAAGCATTGGAAAACTGTGTTGCCAATAGAGAACGTTGGGGTGCAGAGATCTGTCACCAACACCAACAAGACGTAACAACTACTATAACTTCAAACATTTATACAAAATTGAATTAGCAATTCGGCAGTCAACCAACAAAAGCTGACCACTGTGAGATTCTCCAAATGTATATTTAGTCCAACATTTTGTTTTGTTGCAATTAGTTAGTCCAGTCAAGAAAGGGACAAAAAGCTAAAATAACAAATACTGCAACATTCATACAGTATTTTAACCAATGTGGGTGGGGTTTTAGATATTTATGAGTCATGACCTCATGAAGGCTACAATATGCAAATGCTCCTGGGATGATTTCACTTCTACCACTAAAATAACTGAGTATCATTTTCAGGGCATGATTGAAGATTCACTTTAAATGTAAAATGATGCACTAGACACAGAAAAGTCCAATTATCTTAAGTGCGTTTAGCTGTTCATGGCAATTAACTTTATACCTATGTTATATGCATTAAAGTACAACTTTTACCAGTGATACTCCTGGAAATATTGGGAGTAATGTCACTACTTTGTTTATAATCAAGTAAAACTGTGATAACACACCAAAAAGGTGAAATAACATCTACATCGGACTCTGAAGGCACGAAAAGGATGCAACCACTGAATCACGACTAATGGGGAAAAAAACTAATAAAATAATATAACATGTAATACTTTCTGAAAGAGAAACGACTAATGAGAAACGTGTTATTACATAAAAACAAGCGCAAATACTTTGGCACTACATAATGTGGTGATTCCTGTCTTCCACTGGGCTGAGGTCAAAATGGGGGATAAGTGTTAGCCCCTCCTAACAAATGGAAGTTGCATACGCTTGTCTTGAGCACCCCCACCTCCGGCCTTCCCATTTGGCGAAAAAGTTTTAAGGCACAAATACCCCCCATAACATCTCATACCTGGCGTGAAAAGGGAGATTTGAGCGTTTTAGTGTGTCGTCGGTGGGTTTAAACCCTGCGGGACGTTTAAAAAAAAGGCCTTAAAACCTGTTGCCTGCTCCCCACGTCGAGCAGCAGAATGGGGCACTAATGAACACAAAGACTCGGGCCACCAAAGTTTCAGCTGAAAGGCCGGAACCCGACAAAATGAGAATAAAAGTCGAGAATTCTTTAAATAATTGTTCAAAAACGTGTTTTGAATGAAGCAAGATGGAGTAAATAAGGCTTTAGCTGCGTTCTTGTTGCGTGTTAAAGTGGTGTGCTGTTGGTGGAGGGAGGGTAAAAAAAATAAAAAGAATACCCCAGAGTTACACTTATAACTAGGATTTCATTATATTCACACAATGGTGCGTTTTAAACCTACGAGTACAGTGACCTACGCTGCATTAGTGAAACTCTTACATATTGGTACCAGGTGGAGAATACTGCCATTTTAGCTACAACCGGGAATGTTGCACCGTTAGATGAAACAAATCGATGTTAACGCTTCGCGGCTAACGTTAATACGCTTGTGTCTAGAAAACCCGACATACTATAGAAAGATGAATCCTGGGGGAGCCGATTGAGTCCGACGATATGCTAATGTGTAGTAACAGCTACCGTTATGGCCCACTGAAGTGAACAAAGACGTCTTTTCCACCACATATAACCCGCCGACAGTCCGAATTGTAAGAACGCCGCGAGCTCGCTCAGGCCGAAGGGACGAAAATCGAAGACCCCGCTTTTCCCGGCTGAGGCACTCGGTTACAACTTGAAACGATGCGCTTAAAAACTTGATCATTACTCCGGTAACAACGCGACAGGCGACTTCTGTTTGACATGCATACGTTTCTCGTGAATGTATAGTTATACACATATTTACCTGGAATCAATTTTCTGGCATCCAACAGGGAGAAATCGACGGCTGCAGTAGAGAGAAAAACAAAGTTGTGGATCGGATCCTTCCCCCCGTGGTCCGGACTGTGGGCTCGATGAAAACGAGGAAAGACAATATGAACCACTCCTCCCGTCGACTCGTCTGCTTCTTGTTTTCGTCACGAAACTGAAAACACGTTTCTAACCATAACGCTGAAGCCGCTCTGTTTCCTTATTGTTGGAGAAAATATAACAATTTCATTTTCCAAGTAGACATTTTAACAGCCTCCACATTGTCGGTTCCAATGAAGTGAATATCACTCCGCAGCTCAGCCTACGGGGGGACATGGACGCTGAAACATCAGCGATGTCCAATCTCGACTCAAACGAACACGCCAAACGAAGCAGGCTTCAGTAATCCTCGTACAACCAGGCCAGTTATCTCAAATACCATAAAATACCTCTGTTTTGTGGGTGTAAACACGACACAAAATGACCGTACTTAGCAATTCGCGGGGACCTATGTCGACTGGCGGATGAGGACAGCGGAAAGCCCAACAGCCTCGACCAGTAGAAGATGGAATGATAATATCACAGGGAGGACCAATTGGAGACGAGACAAAATTGATTGACAAGTGGGACGTCCAAGTATATTTCATCATCAAGCTTTAGGGCAGTCTCGTTTTGCCTTCGGGTTGCTTGCGTATTAATTTTGTTCTCAAGCTGTGCCTGCGCTACAGAAAATGTTCGTGTTTGTTTGTGAGTCTGAGAGAGATAGCAGTCCGCCATCCTCAGCCATGCTCTTGTGCTAAACATGGATAAGACCGGAAGAAAGTTGTTCTTTTGAGGATTGTAATTGGCCATGTTGTCTAAATTCATGGCCAAAAACCTCAGATTATTGTGCGACCTGGCTATGAATACATACCACAATGAGCTATGTATTTGATACCATGTACAATCTTGCAATATTACTTATTATGCATTCGCAATACCCATTTGTTTTCAAATAGTTTTAGTTTAGTGCACAGTTCCCGGGTAGCTTATTTATAGCCATAACAGTAGCCCTTATGATCATATTTGACATATTTTAATATACTATTACACATTCACAATGTGTCCAATAGTTATGGCTTAGGTTTAACTTAGTAATTAGGGAGGAACAAAAACATTTGCAGATAGAAAATGGGTGCAACATGTGTGAATGCACGTGTGTGTGTTTTTATCCATGTGGAAGAGAGAAAGATAGTGGCAGAAAATAAAATAATAATGGTGCAGCTACTTTCTTTTGCCAAGCTGGAATCAAAAGAGTTTGCATGAACCAGCATCTAACTCACAAAAATGACCTGGTTGCTGTTTTCTCCTGAGTTGTACCTTGGTGGTTATGTAAACATGTAAACATGGCTGCAGTTAATGTCAGCGTTTGTTTTGAGACTTTCTAAAGAAAACCTCAAATGGTTTGAGGGGAAACAACCTAAATAACATCTGTGCAGGCCTTTACGAGAAAACTCAGCCATCCACTTTGTGGTTCGTGCACACACACATGCTCAGCATGCGTTGCACACATGCAACTCAAGCACACACCTGTATGTCATTAAGAGTGGGCCTAAAGACTGGTTACCATGTTATCCTTTTAGGACTAAATAAATGCATAAAAATGTAGGCTACAACAGTCAATTTTAATTAGGCACAGGGAGCCAATGCATGCTTAGAGGTGCATTGTTAAAGACAGATGCAGTTACATGCGTCTTTATGTTTTTCCAACAGGGTGAGGAGCATTCAGTCAACGGGAGCAGATCAACCTCATTATGACAAAACTGGTGTCATGTCACAGATTCACTCGAGAAGCTCCTACAGCACACCTGGGGAAAGACGGTGTATGTATTTGCCGTGGAAGTGATCATATCACAGCTCTCTGCAAAACATCAAACAATGTTTGGTTTGTTGCCTTTTAAAAAGTAGGACAAATGGCACGGAGGCAAAACAACACCGAGGTTGAACGTAAGGCGCAAGACACACACACACACACACACACACACAAAAAAATGCTATATTTAGAGTGGAACTCCATTTTCCTAACCCCCAAGTGTGTACCCTCCTATCCACCCACTCTTTCCTGGGCTCTCTCTTCTTCTAGACGATAGCTTTGTAAATGGGTTACCCCCATGCAGCCACCCACGCATCAGGTACAGTATGAAAACCTGGGGCATCCTGTTATGACTTCTGGTTTCCTGTTTCCTGCAAAAAATAAAGCCCCCTCTCTCTCTTTCAGACACATGCAAACACACTCATATACTCCACCACTTGTCACATAGAGCAGGCCTGGGATCAGCTGCTATAACAACCCATTCCAAATATATTACTTTGAGTGTTTGTACTTATAGTCCTGGCTCAAGTATTTGGGAGTGTATTAAAAAATGTAAATATCAAACTTGATCAGTGGCGTGCTTTCTCTTTTGGGATTATTCCCAACAAGACTCCATCTAATATCTAGTGTATTTTGACTGGGTACCACAGACATTGACATTGTTGTGGCGAGAACGCAGCCCTGGGAGAAACTGCTGCATTGTGAGAAAGTCATTATGCTATAAGGTGACAAGAGCAGCTGTTTTGCCCCATTCTTCACAACATTTAATTTGTTTTTATTCCTTGTATACACATTCTCATTTCACATGCCAAGGAGGGAGGAAGATGTACAAGTGTCAAGGGACCACTGAAACAACGATAACAGCGGTGTGTGCTCATGTGTGAACTGTAGGCGCCCATTCTCCAGAAATATGAAAATAACACTGTTTGTGACACACAACATGCTGCCGCTGCACACCCCCTGCCAAGGTACCTGAGCATCTCTCTCTACAGGGGTCAGCCACATCACTCTTAATGAGCAGAAATCTCTCTTCCTTCCTGTGGTGGATCTAGTCTGCCATGCCGAATGCTTAGTGACGGTGTACATGGTTAATTGTCTTGGCACAAACTCATAGCTCCGTTTCCCCCTTTCATGCTGTGGCTCCTCTTCGTGCTCAAACAGAATTATAACGTACTCGCTCGTTACATGCGATTCTTGTTTTTTCTTTATCAGTTTTGTTTGGGCGTTGTCGTCATTTTTTATATTTGATGCGAGTCTAAAAGCATCAATGTTCAGTATTCTCTTCTGTTGAACAGGGCCTTTACATTCTATAGACCGCTCACGATTCTTTCTTGTTTTTTGCAAGCAAAAGCACAATAGCGTCCTGTTCTTTTTTTCGTTTTTTAGCTCATCCTCCCCTCCCCCTTTCTTGCAGATTTGAATTCATTAGCAATCAAAGAGCCACTGACAAACGCCCAATCTTAATTACCCTCTCATTTGCATATTTGCATATTAATGACTGCAGACTTTGCTGTTTTTCTGCTGCAGTAGTCCCCCTCCCATCAACATTGCTCAGACTAGCCACCCCACACATTGCAACACTACGTCTCCCTATCTATTAGCTCAACGCCTCACATTTTCAGCCTGAAGTTGACAAGACATTCAAGGGAAGACATTTCATTATTACTCCAGACATGAGCCAAACAGATGAATCATTGTGCTGGCGATTTAAATGGAGGACTAATGTATTTGAGCAGGGCTTTATATCACGGTCCTGCTTTTCGTTTCAGTCAGTATAAGCATGAGCTAACATGGTTGCAGCAATGTAGGCACAATACACTACAGATACAGTACCAAGTATATTTTGATATTTCTGTTTGATAGCATAGTTTTGTTAGTAATTGAACCAAAGTCCTCAGTGCATTTCATGTGAGTGCTTCCCCCTTCTGGTGAGATGAGTGCATAGTGATAGTCTGGCAAATGAAGACATAATCTTACAACACTTGCCATTTATTGACAATTCAGACTTCATAAGGACAAAGCTTTCAATGACATTACCATAAAAAACATCTATATTGTTACTTAAATGAGGAAGTAGACAAAGGAGAAAAATGCCCTGATTCTGCCACAACACAGGATGCACTTCAATGGCAAATCCATGTCCTGTTTACATTACTGCAAATACAATGCAATAATAATTAGCTTCCTCTGAGGCTGCTCAGAGAGTCGTGATGCCGCTTGCTCACATGATTAAAGCAGTGTTGTTACAGCGGGTACTGTCCAGGGATGAATCTCCAGTATTTTCAAAGGCAACCTCTGCCCCTTGTGTAGCTAATCTGAAGCTAATGGTAACACAACAAGCTGATGATGCCGCTTTAAGTTAACAACCCTGACCTACAGAGGAAGCAGAGGGTGCATTTATTGTTGCAACTTCTTTTTTGTTTTTGGCTTTGACACGAGGGTCATGCTAAAATATATTAAACATTGTGTTTCACCTTTAGACATCTCAAAATTTGTAGAAATCTGTCACATCATCAAATGCAAAGAACATCCTAGACTCGATCATCTCTTGCTAACACAGACACACCTGACATGTATCCATAAAATAAACGTTTTTTACTTTTCTAAATGTGTTTGCATAACACATATGAAAACAAATTCAGATATATATATCTGCCTGTACACATGTATGGATGCATAACCATGATTGTAATAACTGGGCTTTACACACTCGTGCTGTAGATACAGTGTCTCTCCTGGCTTACTTGTCCTGGCTTACAGTAGAGTTCATTAGACAGATGGAAACTTCAGAGGTTCACCTGAGAGAGGACGTGGCAAACAGGGCGTGTATGTGGGTGTCTCCATGTTTTTACATGTACATACTGTGTGCATGAGTGTGTGTGTTCAGTCTGCATTGCGCGTTGGACTGCTGGGTTGGTTCAGCCCCATGGTCTTACAAAGCCAGCCAGCAAAGTCTACCTCCTCCACCTCAGACCGCTTGATAAACATATGGTTCTGCAACAAAACATACAATCAATGCAAATACAATACTGGATACTAAAAACTCAATCATACAACAGTTGCCTTCACAAAATGTAACTGCGTTTAACCTCAGTTTGTGATCTAAACCTTGAATCTGTCAGATATTGCCCATTTCAAAGACAAATGTGGAAGCATAAATTCAAACTTATGCCATCGTCTAACACTCACCGTCAACATTTTCAAGTCAGCCCTGTCTGCTGGGTTTTTGATGAGACTGAATACGACAGAGCAGAGAGAACTTTTCATCCATGAATAAAAAGACAGATTATGTGCACGTGAAAAGGACAAATGAACTGTTTTCAGGGTGAAATGCTGTCTCACCACTTTGTCACAAAGTCCTGGAAATCAGAGGTGAAGACGCCATGTGGTAGTTTGGGGGGAGGCTGAAATACAAGACAAAGTTGAATGAACATGTCAACTAATTTTGCAAGGATGACAGTAAATACATTATGGAACCAGGGAACCGTTTTTAGATGTTCTTTGGAAAACTTCTAAGATTCTTACCTCATTTACTATGTAGTCTAGTAGTTCAAAGATGGCCATGGCAGGACCATGACCTGGAAAAAAGAGCCGGGATCAACTGTGTTTAATATTTCAATTAAGAACTGCTGTAAAAACACAATTTGATCAGCTTAAATTACACATTGAAGCTTCAACTAAATCCTGTTCTACCATAATGATTGAGCACATGGAATATTGTGTGTATGTATATATATATATATATATATATATATATATAAAATATATTGTATATTTGTACTTCACTTAATAGATAATAATAACAATTTTACTTATTTCGCCATAAATCTGATTCTAATGGCATTAGCGATCACGGACTGGCCAAGTTGGTATACCTTAGTGCTAACTTTACTTCTCATGCTGCCACCTACAGCTGCATGAATGCAAAGGTACCAATTGCAATTTAAAAAAAGCCAATTAAAACAGTTGTGTGCATTGCTCACCGCCACCAGGTCTACCCGATGGTCTAGGTCTGGGTGAAGTGCTGAGCGTCTCTCCTTCACTACCACCCAAGATGGGATGTCCAAATATGGCCTCCAGTTCCTTAGCATCTGGAGGAGGGATGGGGAAGCGTCCGATTGACAGCTCCACAAGGGACAGCCCCATACTCCACACATCTGACTGCACAGAATAGTGGGTTCCCTGCAGTCTCTCAGGCTATACAGAAAACATGAAAAACACACATAACAACAAAATAAACAATTACATTTGATCAACAAATATAGGGAACTCTTGCTCACTGCACAAGTCTTAAATATATTGTTTATTTCTATTACAGTAAAGTGGAGGAACTAAACCGAGTTGATCTTTTCAAGGCATAATTCAGAGAAGGACCAACATACCGACATATAGGATCTTGTGCCGACAAAGGAATTGGCCATAGAGTCTATGAGCTGCCCGCTCACACCGAAGTCACACAACTTGATCTCCCCCCGCGAGTTCACTAGTATGTTTGAAGGCTTCACATCTGGGGGTAAAAAAGGTATTCAAAAAAACCCATTACCTGACTGGATATCTACAACAGAATGCAGTGAAAAGCGACTATCTTTACCAACCATCGTACAGACTACAACCCTAATATTAACATAAAGGTTAAGACTTAGATTTGTATTATCTTTGGCATGTGACAACGTATTAATTGACAACAGGTTAATTCCCGTTTTAATAAAATACAATGCACTTTGCTACTGTGCAGTAGGCCTTACAGATGAAATACAAGAATCAGTAATTAACCCCTTGAAAACAACGAGTACCTCTGTGCATGATTTGATGTTTTTCTCTCAGGTACACCAGGCCTCTCAAAACCTGTTTTGAAAAAGGGAGAAATTACACAAGTCAATAATCATAAATAAAGTTAATGTGAAAATAACAGTTAGAAACAAGCATAAAACCCATCCAGGCCCATGGTGTGTGTGTTTTTATAACACGGTCACAATTTCCTTTGAGCCCAATACAGTAAACAGAAGGAGCGAGTGATATGATTATGGAAGATCTTGATTGTTTAAGCCTTGATGAAATTGTTTTATTCAAACAGAACAATTTAAACTAACCATTGTCTTATTAATGCCAATAATGTAATATCACATAACATTACAAATGTAGAAGATAACCATACACTTACAGCGATGGTGACTTTGCCCAGAATCTCTTCAGGGATCCTCTTTGCTTCTTTCAGCACCTGGTCCAGAGAGCCACCATCCTGCACAATAAAGCCAGACAACAGGTCGGAATACAAATCGATAAAAAGCACATCCTGTCTACAATGGTGTTCCAAAGGATCCCATCTTTCCCATTATCGTTATGTGCACTGAGCACGTTTACTGAAAAAGCACAGGTCTTCTGTGGAACATATACAGGTCCGATACAGGAATTGTATTTCATGATTATCACAATACATTTGGTTTACATTTTACCATAAAGATCACACCACATAGTTTCAATTTACATATAATCATTCTGCAGAGTAGCATACAAGTTAAGTACAATCCAACCACAGTAGGGCATGGATAATTTGAGATTAGCATTTGAACTGTTTATCGACTGACATATGTACATATAGAAGGGACATTGAGGATCTCCTATTTTTTCCTTGATTCAATGTCACAATCCTTGAAATAAGCAAAAAAAAGCAATCTAGGGGCCTAAGTCTGTAAAGGTTTTCTGTACCTGACCTTCCGCAGCCGCACGTAAGATAAAAAACGTGCAAAGGGGGAAAAGAAGATAGTATCCCTTTGGGGATGAATTGATCAATACTGAAATACCCTTAATACCTTAACCTGCTACCCACACACAGTCACTCCCTCCGATTTTCTCACCATGTGCTCCATGCAGATGCTGATCTCTCCATCGTTGTAAAATGATCCATAGAAGCCCACAATGTAGGGAGAGTTACACTCATGCAGCACCTGAAGCTCTCGGATAATCTGGTTTCTGATTGCAGGTTTAATTTCAAGATGAATAAGCTGAACAGAAAAGAGAATTGTTTTATATCGAATGCGTCTTAAGACCAGTTGGTACAGGATCAACGTTTTATTACCAGGTTCAGCATGACTTTTTGTCATCACATTCACATCATTAGTATAATTTGTAGCTCACCTTTCTGGCCATGATTATTCCTGAAGATTTGTGGCGTTCCTTATTGACAACTCCTCCGTTGCCTGCACCCAGCTCACAGACACGATGGAAGTCGTCGGCTCTCAGCTCACCCACCTTGGCCTTTTGGGTAAGGAAAGCTTCTAACCTTTTCTTCTGTTGTTCGTCCAGGTCCAACTCTTCCAATATTCTTTTAAGTGCCTCTAAATTGGCCCTGAGAAAAACGATAAAGAACAGGAATAAAGCATCTTTCACATAAACGACTGAAATACTTAGTTTATAGAGTATATTAGTGTGGTCAGTAGAATAACTTACTCAGACGAAACATCGGTGTTGGTGGAGGTGGATAACCCGTCAGCAGCAGGAGCAATGGTTAAGGGCACTGGTCTCTTTTTAGGAGCCATGTTCACTGATGGATAAACTATGAGGTGAGCTTAAGTGACAGTTTTCTCCAGGTTACAACTGATAATTTACTATTAAAGTAATGTGATTAGGATCAAATTTGACTTTTGGTGCAAACGTTTGGATAAATGATTAAAAAGCAAAACAGGTATTATCTTGCAGATGCTATGTGGACTAACTACCCTGTTAGTGGACTGACAGATACTAGGTGAGACAGTTAACAAAGGTAAATGTGACCATAAAGTATTGGGCTCAACATTTTAAGCTTGGCCTCAGACTCTGCTTAAATGACCAGTCTCCGATTCAAAATACTGTAATGAGCAACACTGTAAATGACTAAAAACAGTGACGCTAACGTTGGCTACCTTCTTAGCTAGATTATAGTCACGTTAGCTAGCCAGTTGTTGTGAACGGATGAGGCGTAACGGAGACGTTACTGGTAAGCACGACAATTAGCATTATGGCCACTGCACTAAAGTGAAATATGTGAATTTGTAATGACTCTACGCTGAACTAGCTTCAACATAACGGAAAACAAAATATATCAAAAACCATCAGTAGCAGCGCTTCACGTTAGCTGACTTGCTTCATCTGCTAGCTAGTTAGCTGTTGCATGAGAGTAACGTCAACACATTTAAAGCTAGCTGATAGCAAGCGACTGTTTTCCTTTACGGACGTTGTGACAGTGTCGTAAACCCACCCAGGTGTTTAAGTTACAAACACCCGCCTAATGGGGCTGTAGTGTCCGTCTATTGTAATCCTTGACCCTTATTGCATCTAGCAGGTATGTGGTCGCTGCAGACAGACAGACACTGGTCCCAGTATCAGAAGCAGAGATGAGGTCCAAGGGCCGACCAGCATCCGCACACTTGCTGGACTCTGCCTCTGATTGGCTTAGCATGATATTTATTTTAACCCTAAACCTACAACCTAACCAATCCTACAAACGATAGCAACGAGTACTAGCCAATCAGAGACCGAGGAGGGCGGGTACCTATAGATAACTGCACATGGGAGAAGTCTGCCTCCAGGGCTTTCTGCCAGGAATGTCCTTAGGTTTAGGTAACAATCGTAGTGAGTTAGGTTTGGGAAAATATCACGATTTGGGGTTAAAATAAACCCTTTCTAGCAAAAAGCCCTGAAGGCAACCTTCTTCCATGTGCTCGTATGTTTTGCTAACCATCCTATGAAAAACGTAAATGGGATTATGTAATGGCCTAAAACTCTTCTCACATAAAATAAAAAAATTACAACCAGAATTATGTTTAGCCAATGTTCCAAGCATGGATTATGTTATATCTTTGCAATATTTGCTGTTGGGCCCCTCTTGACACCACCACCCACCACTACTTACTGCTCTCAGTGCATTGTGAATGTCCCCTGTTACAAGTTCATATTTAGAACATAACACAACACAGTCAATGCATGACTAAATATAGAGATATATAGTTCAACTAGTGCTATTTTACCAAAATAATAATGACTGTTTCCAAGTGAAATATCATTCCAGTAAGTTGTGGTATTGTTATTAAACAATATTTACCATAATAAAAAATACTTTTTGAATTAATCAAATTACTAAAACCAATTGGCATGCAGCGATTTCTTTGACTTTTTGGAGTCTTTTGGAAGTTGCCTGTTTTGAACTGTTGGTAATCCAGCTGTGGTACAAGAATCAGGTGTAATAGCATGAATTCTGAACACCTTGAAAGAATCCTGCTCTGCTGTCCTTGGTTATAAAATAATCTTTGTGGATAGTGTTTGCCCTCTCCAGCTGGGCGGGCAGAACTGTCATCTATAGTTTCAGAAAATGTAACAAAGCTACCAGCTACCTTTATGTATAAACACTGACACGAATATTTTAAAGACGACATAAATGACATTTGAAAAGACCTGAGAAGCTCAGAGGTTCCATCCCATAAACAACATTAATGTCTGCCCAACACATCAGAAAACACTTTTGTGTGCGCATTCACTTCACTCTTGCTGTGTGATTTTCTTCCAGCAGAAGGCGCTGTTGCTCATTTATTTACAGCCTTCAGAGTTGTATCTGACTGGGCTGTAGCATGGATGTATTAAAAGCCATTTAATCCCATAGTTATAAGGCTCTAAAAATGTTACTGATGTATCAATGCATTTACAGCAAACATTGAAATAATAATGAGTGGAAGTGAAATATGTGCAGAGCCACATGTTTAGTACATAGTCACATGACCTGAGCTGTTTACTTCCTTGCTGCACAATGACAAGAGGAGGGCTGCATCAAAGCTCCCAAACAAAATGATACTAAATACTGTTTAAATGAAGACAGGGCAAAGATTTTTTGGTACACATAATCTTTAAGGTGTCAAATGTTCATATATGCATTTGCAATTACTCAACTTTGTTCAGTGTGGTCATAGAATGAGTAAACATGTTGACGGCAACAAAAGTGACCGGCGGGATAACACAGTGCATCTCGGTATACATACTTAAACACAGACATAGTTCTTGTTCTACCTGACTATCTACTCCGTTCTTTCTTTTACTTTAACTTTGAGTCAAGATCTGGAGGAACCAAAGGCCTCCGTCTGTCTCTCTCTCATACCACTTTATTACATTTCAAGAAGATTATCAACACGTTAAACCTTAAAGCAGACGGGGTAGTGCTCCTTTGTTGATCTGGGACTGACAGAACGTTTTGGTTACGCTCAAATGGATGGTGACCGATTTGCATTTATTTATGATCTTTTATTAAAGTTACCGAGGTCTCTTTTCCAATGTAAGTCTAGTGGAAAAAGTATTTTTTGGTTCAAATGGCATCACATTACAGACCTGGAAGTTGTAATTCCACTGTTTTGGCCACTATGTAAAATTTGCTTCAGAGGCCCGGCGCTCTTCCTGGGGGTTTGGGCTGGAGCTGTGTCCTTTGGCAGCAGCTTTAAGATACAAAGAGAAACAGAGTCAGATGAAACAGAGAGAGAAGTACTGTTGGAATGCACATTATCACAAACTAAGACATACAACTGACATTAATTTTGCTCTAAAACATTTTTGCTCCGATGTTTATACATATTTCCGACAAATGCTCCTCATTTGAAAACATCACTATCTCTAACACTGAAAATGCAGCTCCAGACCTGCTCTTTTTAGTTATAGCAGTTATAAAGTTATGCAAAATCTTACTTAGGTCACAAGATTTAATTGTGTCAGTTTTATAGAATTGGTGTCTGGTAGGTCTGTTAATCATTATTCACACGAGCACACACACACACACACACACACACACACACACACACACACACACAC